AAACAATCTGATCACTCCCTTGTCTGCCTTCTGGGAACTTAAATTGAAATGGGTTCCCAAGCCTAACAAGTGATTCTTGTTGCAGGTGAGTGAGAGGAGCAACAATCAATGTTGGTAGATGGACAGTGGATGCTCAAAACATATGACTGGTGATATTAAAAATTTTCTCTCAGTCAAGACACTTCAGGGAGGAGGTGTCTCTTTTGGTGATGGAAAGAAGGGGTATATTTTGTGGGAAAATCTCTTGGAGAATCAGTTGATAATGTGTATCATTTCGGTGGATTGAAGTATAAGAAATATAATAAATTCATTCCAATGATTTTAATTTTTTTTTACAAAAAGTTACAACATTAGTTGCGACATACTTGTGTCTTGATGATGTTTGATTTAAATAAAAATAATTAATAAAAAATATTAGTTATTTTGTACATGAAAATTCATTCTTGACATTATTAAATTAAAAATATAAATTAAAATACAAAGTCAATGTAAATAACTTGATTATCATAAAGAGAGACACATGATTAGAGCAAAGAGGTCCTTTAGAAAGCTAGTAAAACATGAAATAAAGAGGTCCGCATAAATAAAATTAGAGTGCTATAAAATAAAATGTTGTTTTGACTCATCTATGAACAAAAATCAAGTCAATATAATAGACTCTATAACATACACAATCCATGCTAATCAATGTCATAATATAATACTTCTAAGAAATAAACAATGAGCATCTTGAGATATTTCATTTTCTTTCAAAAGTAGTTTAACACATCAGAGATTACGTCTAAGTCAGAATTAATTTCGTACTTAAAGTGTAGAGCTAAAAAGTGTTCGTACTTCAAATGTAAAGCTAAAAAGTTACTTAAGATCATTCTTTAAAAAGTTAATTTTAAAATCACAATATTTTTGAAAAATATGATTAAATATATTTTTATAATTAGTATGCCTCTCACATAATAAATTTTTTCACATAACCTCTTTATCTGTTACTCCACGATTAAATAATAACTTAAATATGGTGATTAAATGTTCTTTTAAAAAAAGTATGCACTTTTCACAAAAATGAAGCGGCAATTCTACAACAATTGACAAATTTCAACAAATTAAAAAACCACAAACAAATGTCAGCACCGAAAAAAAACCAGAATTTATTAATTATGAAAATTATTTTTAAAATTAAAAATAAAAATAAATCCTATTCCCTTGGTTACAGTTTTTAATTTGATTTTTTGAAAGAAAAAAAAACTTAAAATTTATCATTAAATTAGCAGAAGTAATTTAAAACGTTAAAAAATAAAATTGCAAACGATAAGAAAAACTGTAAAACTTAATTAGCAAATATATTTTTCAGCCAGAAAATATATAAAAAAAATTGCAAATATTAAAAATAACAAAAAACACTAAACATTTTTTTTCCTGTGTACGCACTAATGTAAGCACTAAAATTTTAATGCACAAAATATTTTCTAACAAAATAAAATAAGTTGATATATAGAAAGCTAATCTAGAAGATAAGACAAACTTCAATCATTTTAGCAATTATTCACGCCAAAACATCAACTTATAGACGAAGAATCTTCTTTTTCACCGATTTTAATTTATATGATCAAAATATTCACTATTTATTTTCATCCTTCGTATTTTATACTCTTTTCGTTTAAAAAAAATGATTTTATTTTTATTTTAGTTTGTTCAATTGAAAATGATTTTTTTTTTCTTGATAATACTTTAACTTTAATTTTCACGTGATATATTTAAGACTACAAAATTAAAAGGTATATTGATATATTTGACATAACTTTAATTTAGAACCACAAAATTAAATAATCTTCTTTTTTTTCTTAAACTCCGTTACAAGTCAAACTAGTTCATTCTTTTTAAAATGGAAGAAATAATAATTTAAATATATTAAATTATCTAATTTTACGTAAAAAGTCAATTTGATTAATTTTTTAAAGGTTAAATAGATCACATTAATTCAATATTTTAAATTAAAAATTAGATATTTTAAAACTATATGAAATGTACTATAAATTACAACTTTTTGCATATTAATATGATGAAAAAATACATCTTAAAATGTTAGTCAAAATTTTTATAGTTTGACTTTAAAAATAAAAATTATGACAAATAATATCGTACGGAGGGAGTAACGATAAAAAAAATTCCTCGTTAATGAAATATTTATTTTGTTTCTGTGATCAAATATAAATTTTACTAAATTGAGTTTTTTTTTTCTATTTGTGCACACCATTAAACTAATATTGTAAAATTACTTATAAATTGTCAGTAATTTTTTCTAGAGTGAAGGAGCATTATAATTTTCAAGACAATCTTAGTTTTTTGATTGGTACAATTTATAATTTAATTAATTATCTTTCTAACTTATTCTTAATGTAGCTCTACAGATAAATCATATGGCGCAAAGTTTTTCTTGCAGTTAATGCAATTAGTGTTTTTTTTCCTTTCTTTACTTTGGTTAAAATTGTTTTTCTTTTTATCTTTTGATGAAAAATGAATTTCAACCATCGATTTTATTTTAGACACATAAGTGAAAGATACAAGTACTGTTAAGTTATTGTTATTTCTCCTATCTTTTTAGTATGTGTATAATTGACATGTCTTATGGATGATACAAGTATCTAATACGTACTATACATATTTATACATCATAGAACTAACATCTAGTTGTATGCTTACAAAGTACAATTTATAATCTACTATATTGACAATTCTTTTTTATGGTCAAACTTGCAAAATCATCCACCTAAACAAAGAACATAGGCATAATATATATATTGAATTTTAAATTTGAATTCAAATTTTAACTTTGATCTCCAACTTTCATAAATGCACAAACAAAATTTTTAACTATTCAACTTTTAAATAAATAAACGCATGAATCCTACATTGCATGATACACGTAGGACACCATATAGGACAAAAAATGACATGTAGGACATGTATATCTATTTGTTCAACTTTATACAAGTTTAAGTGTCTATTTGTGCATATCCAAAGTTGTGCATGAATATATTTTTTTTGGTCCTTATTGTTAGTATTTAGAATACTAAGTGGTATGTCTTTTCGTGATAGAGGAAAAATACCAATGACTTAGAGTTTGTGATTTTGTGTCTCTATGAAATAAACTTTGACATTGTGTAAACATTGTCAAAGAGAATTGAAGGAATATAATTCTTTTGTAGAATAATATTTTCAAAAAGAGATTCATATTGTTAATGACATTTTGAAAGTCTAGAAAAGTATGTGGAAAAATTATTTTAAAACACTTGAAAAATATTTTTGAGATCCCATTTAAAATGTCGTGGTTCTTTGCTTATGATTGGACTTAGTGTCTAATTTAACTTTGGAGCAAAATATATGAAATTCAATGATACTTCTGCATCATGTTAGACCCACAAAATTCTTGAACTATATTTGGTATTGTGGTTGTTGAGTTTCTCTATTACTAGTATATGATATGACTAATATGAAACTACCAAATTATATGTATACTTATTCAAAATGATTGTGTTCTTTTATGAAAAAACGTCACTTGAAGTGATGTAATTTTTCATGAAAAGTATTTCCATAAACATGAATATTGGTGAATAGTCATTTGTTATGTTTTTGTAAAAGTAATATTTGGACTATATTGCATTTATTGAACCCGATGAGACTTTATTCATGGATAGTTCTAAAAATCAAATTGAAAGTTATAGAAAGGTCCTTCTGAAAAGAACATTTGACAAATGATGACTCTAAACAATGTTTGTATCACATAAAACAGTAAGAAATAAGAACAAAATATTAGTGAGAAAAAAGCAACCTAGTGAAGAGCTTTCCGAACTTAATGTTTTTATTTGTTCTTACTTGCTTGAGTCAATATTTGTGATATGAACACTTGGGGCATGTCAATTACAAAACCTTGTAAGGAAAACTGATCAACTTAGAAGTTTTGTCTAACTTTGAGTGTAATAAATAAAAATATCAAATTTTTGTGGAATCTAACTATGTTGAAATCTGTTGAAAGAAATTCTAATCCCTTAGAATTGATTTACACGGACATTTGTTATATGAAGTTAACACCATCTCATGGTGGGAAAAGTATCTTGTTACTTTTATTGATAATTGCATTAGAAATGACTATGTCTATTTGTTGAACGGTAAGGATGAAACAATAGAAATGTCTAGACAATGTAATATCAAACTTGAAAATCAGTGTGGAGAAAGATAAGAAGTGATAAGAATGAAGAGTATAAACTCATAAAAAATAAAAGAAATAACAAGAATGAGGTAACACTAATAAGAATAATTAAAGATGTTTATAGAACTATTTAATGTACTTGTTATCATTCTTGGTAGATTTTTGTTTGCATGAAATTACATTTTTACCTTTGATCATTATCCCTTCATATATAGAAAGATTTTTCTAGAATTATTTATTCTTGATAGATTTTCATTAGGATAAAATTACATTTTTATTTTTGGTCGTCTTTAATGCAAATATATCATTTTGTTAAGTTACTTTTTTAACTTTTTTTTTCTTTAATTTCAATATAATATATATTATTAATTTTATCACACTTATTTATTTTTAAGTATATTAATTAAAACCAAAATAAAGATAAAAATAATTAATTCACAATAAATTTTTATATAAAAACTAAACATTTTGTATGGGCATAATGAATTGAAAAAATATTAAGAATTAAATTAAAGTAATAGTAAAATAGAGAAATAATAAAACAGATATCACAATTACTCACAAAAGAAAAGAAAATCAAGTAATAACAAAATAAGTTAATGGTAAGATATTTCTAAAACTATTTAATTTTCTTGTCATTATTCTTGGTAGATTTTTATTAGTGTATAATTACATTTCTTTCTTGATCATTATTCACTTTATACCTAAAAATATATTTTTAAAATTATTTTGTTATTTTTCTAAATAGATTTTTCTTAACTGCAATTATATATATATATGAGTGTGTCATATTTTGTCGGTGCGTATCTCAAAAAAGTGGTGCATAATGTATTAAGCCGTAAAAGAAAGGCACTTTTTCCGGTAGAGTAGCGTATCTGAGAGATTCTCTTTTACTATCGAAAAACTAAAATATGAATGTGAAATCTGCCGGTGGAGTTGTTTCTGTGTTGTGAAATTGTTGAATTTGATTAAAATTTGTTGTGTTGAGTGATAATGGAGAGGGAGAAGTACTCGGAGGAATTGAATGTGGCTGTGAGGGTTGTGCATTTGGCGTGTTCTCTGTCAAAAGGTGCAAAAGGGTTTGCTTGGTAAAGCATTTGGTGATGATGATGAGGTTAAGTCTAAGATTGATGATTCTCTTGTTACTATTGCAGGTAGCTTTTTGATTTTTTTTTTGCAATTTTGTTTTATAATGGGGAATTGTATGGGTGGGTTAAGATTAGTAGATAGTTTGTGAGTATGGGTAGGTAATCACATTGAGATGGAGCATGCGTGTTGTAGCGGAATCATGATTTTTCACTAAAAGGGATTGGTTGTTTGTTTCACTAGGAATTTAGAGCTGATTTAAGGTGTTAAAAGTATTCTGGATTATGGGAATTTGTTACTTGCTTTATGATTTATGGGGGTTAATAGTATGATTTATGTTTTCAAATTGAATTGAAATGCGAGTGTTCAATAAGGGCATGATGCATCATTGGCCTTGCCAACATTACTATCCGATAACACTAGGCCAGACAGCTGATTCAGCTTGAACCCCGTAACCACAACCATACGAGTTAAAAAGTTACTATTTTTGATAAATTCTTTCACTGCAGTGACTTTGACAGTAGTGGTGTATGTAGGAGTTTATGCAAGCAATGTTGGCCTATTGTCCACAATTCAACTTGTATGTGGTTTTGACTATGATTTTACTTTCGGTCTCAAATTGATTTTTACCATTAAGTAGTGTTGTCCTATTGCGTATATACATTTCTGTATTCTTAGAAAGATATAATTTACACACATATACAAGAATTGTTTCTTATAACAATTCTTGTATATTGATCGTGGAGTGTATGAGCACATTTTATTAAAGTATGTTCTTCCCTGTCTGTCAGTGTAACTGCTTTCTCTTCCCCTTTGAGTAGGAAGCAAGTAACGTTGGCCAAACACTATCCGCAACAGAATCAGTTGACTTGCAATATGAGTCGCTGAATGAGTCACACACTATGCCACTTCATTAAATCTTGCTCTGTCTTTAGAAATATAATATTAACACGGTTAGATAGTGGCTTGAACCTGGTACCAATTGCTACTTGCGTAAATAAAGCATCTTCTACAGAAATGGATATAACACAGTCTCCATACAACCAACTAATCAACATCAATTACATATCTTTCAATTTTCCTTTATCACTCAGTCATCTATTTACGTTATTTGAAACATTCCTTTACAACTTTCTTAGCTTCACCTTAGCCAAGTATTAGTCTAAGTCCAGTTTTCAAAGACAGGATTTTGCTCGTTACTTGTTAGTCAAGATGCCTTATCGAGTCCAGAAGAGAAGTACAATCCTCTTCCCTACCTCATTTAATCGTTGGAATACATGTTTAGAATTGTGCGGAAGTGAAGGTCTAAACTACTACTTCTTAATATCATTCTTTCAGCGACAAGCCGACAACAAGAAAGTAAGAAGTAGCAAAAGAGTGGAATAAGCATTTATTTTGGTATAAAATTCTATGTAGAGAATGCTCTCATTACTCTTAAGATATTATAAATTTTACATTGCTTGTAAATTGAAACAAATACCCTCTTATACTAGCTTACATTGTGCAACTACAAGGGCTACAAATGATGTTTCTTTTCCGATGGAAGTTTAATGTATCTTTATCTGGCAGTGGTGCTCCTGAACTGTTAAAGGAGAAGCTTCCTTTTCAAAGGCAAATACATGCTTTTAAGTAGTTGGAAAGTGGAAATTGACCTTAAAATCACTGAAGTTCATTTCCTTAGATAACATAAAATATGGCCTATCTATCTTTATTGTTCACTAATTATCTGCAAAGAAATGGGGTTCACATGACAATTGAAAATTCTTGGATGGTGGATAAATGATGATGTTTCTACTTTGACATATTTCATAATTCTTATATCATGGGAACTGTTGGTTAGTCTAATCATGCTTGGTTTTAGAAGCCTAATAGAAAAAGCAAGTCCAGATTTTCTTCTAATATGGAGGTGTTTGGATTAACTTGTGCACACTTCACCAATTACGCTAGGTACTTGCGATCTCCCAACACATATATCGAGTTACTCGAACCACAAGACTTAGTAGATAGAATGAAATCACCTACATTTTTTTGACCTTACTGGGATTTTGGACCCTGATCGCCCTTGATTTTATCCTTCCTCATTGATCTTCTTTGGAATTCTTACAAGACACAAAAACTTCACTCCGTTGTCTACTGCTCTTAATACTTTATATCTGATCATTATGCTTAACAAGCACTTTAAGTTCACTGGGGTTGCGAGTAGTAGTGATTGTTATGTTAAGAAGCAGTAGCAGTAACCCTAAGGATCACTTTGATACTTACATCTAGTTCGAAGCTTTTTAATCTTTATACTCATAATAACTTAAATAAGGAACATAAATTATCAATAGAGACACTCTATCGTCACATAATCTGATCCTCTTATTTCTTTTCTCATTTCCACGAGGTATTCACCATATGGTTAGCTTCAAAGCCAAAGGTCAAGCAGTATATTAGTTTCAGTTATGAGTCTCAAGTTCTGTCTTAGTTGATACAGCTGCTTTTAGTTCACTAATATGCAAGAGAACACCCATAAAAATGACTTCCCTTGCTTGACATATGAATGATTTTCCATGTAGCCAGCCACTCATGTTGTGTCTTCAGTTTGACTACTGAAGGGATCACACGATTATGCAAAATGTCAGGAAATAAGTTGCATTCTTGAATCTCTTCACCTTGTTTAGTTAACAGGATTAGTGATACTTTCAGCTGCTAAATTTTGTATTTAGAATCAATATTTCATTCTCCAACATATTAACATTTGAATAATTGTTGAGAAGGAGTTGGCTGTGGTGGAGTAGTTATGCTGATTTAGATTCTTATGGACGTACTGTTTGATAAATATTAAATCTTAATTATTCAACAAGTATTTTCATTGTATACATGGATTGCAAATGCGGCAGTAACCTAAAGTTGAGTTTTATCAATTTGTTAATGTTCAACATGCGGAATTTTGAGATATTAGTAATTTTTTTCTTTTCCCACTGCTGGATAAATGTTCAGATGCTTGAGGTTTTATTTTGGTTGCTTAGTGATATATATTCTTTTTTTTACTTTATAGGAGTGAAACAGCATATTCTGATTATTTGTTCAGACTGTTTAAAATTGTTTTTGGATTCTGATAGTGTTCAATGGAAACCTGCATTTAAACGCACTCGGTTTTGCTTGTAGGGAAGGAGGAAAGCATTATGCTCCCTCCATAATTGTCCACTAAACTATCTTGGCATGTCAAACAATAGTTGTCCACTTTATAAAATCAATGAGTAATTTTACACTTAGTTCCTAATTCACCCTTATCATTAATCATAGTCATTCCTTATTACATTTTTCAAGACATTGTATTTATTATTTTTAAAGGGTGATATAGATAAATTACCTTTCTATTTGTAGTTTCTTAAGAAGTGTACAAAGTCAAAAGTGGACAACTATTGTTGGACAGAGGGACTTATTATTTAAGAATAAATGTTTTCAGAACTTAGAAATTTGTTGTATGGCTGATTTTCCTGGATGTTGATATAATGCCGGCTTTTTTGGTGTTCTTAGTACAATAGGATCCCTGACTAGCTTTTCTACCTCTTGTATCTGCGTTGTACTATCTTAGTGATGTGCTTCATTAATAAAATTACCTTACTTTTTATCTAAAAAAAAGGGCATGGTTTTTAATGTTTGTTTTTATTCCTTCAACTGTTCAGTGTGGAAGAAGTTCTTACTAGTTCCAAGTTTGCATCTTCTAAAGTTATTGTATAGATTGTCTATAATGCGCACTAAAAGTATTTCCTGCAATTTCTTTGCATGGATAGATTGGAGTATGCAAGCAACTGTAAGCTGGATCCCTTCAAATACTTTTGGTAGCGAAAATGTCTCCATAGTAGCTGAAGAGGAAGTTCAAACCATAGACGCACTAGGTTTGGCTTTGGTTCGCATTGCTTGCTAAATTACTAAATGAGAATTCATATTCCTTCCATCCCATTTTAAGTGTCTTAGAGCCCAAAAGATATGTATGCTCCCTTGTTTCATTTTGTTTAAGAAAAGAATGTGTTTTTCATTTTTTGACTATTCTTCAATTTCAACTTTTGATCAAACATGTTTAAGATGGACATACATTCTACATATCTTTTAGTTTTAAACCACACGATTTGAAGTTTTCTTTACTTTCTTAAACTCTGTTTCAAGTTAAAACCGTAAACAAATTGAAAGAGAGGGAGTGTTTCAAAATATATGTTTTAGACAACCAAAGATGAAGTTTCTTTTTAATTTTTCCTTTACTATTGAAGATGCACAAGTATTTGATAATCGTTACATCACATTTTAAGTGTCATTTAAAGTTTTAGCATGTCCATTAATAAAATACTAAGTAGAGTGTAATTGTTACTAAATTACTAATACTTGTATATTATTTTCTCTCACCTTATTACTCCGGTAACACCAACTCAATTATTTAACTCTTAAACCATATTAGTCTCTCCCCTATTATTATTTAACCACTTAAGGTGCTTTATTTATTTATTAATTCTAAGTTTCTAAATAACCTTAATGACTCCCAAATTATTGTGTCTTCTTATCCATCTTCATTATCATTGGCAAATTTTCTGAAGTTGAAATTCATTCCGTTGAAACTTTCATAACTTTTCTTTGAACTTGGTAACTTTGTATTATATCATGACACAGAACATGAGTTGTATTGAAACCGTATATTATACAAAGGTACTCTCAATTTCATTGTTATTTGTCTAAATTGCGTCTAAAACATCAATTATTGAGGCAATGTCTAAATTGAGTCTAAAACATCAATTATAGAGGCAATGTCATTAGAGTATAATTGGTTACATCAAAAATATAAAAGCAAGATGCAATTGAGTTTAACCTTCTGCACATTATTGTCTATGAAGCACCTAGAATTCCTCTCTTGCCATATTGCCCACCACATTGCATCAGGGATAATTTTCCATCTACCTCTGTCCTTAGCATGTACACATGCTTCCTCTGAGGTCTTTGAAACCTCTGAAACCTTCCTAGGCATGGTCTAGGACATATTCTCCATGACTGTTGAGTCTACTTGTAATGTAGAAATAGATGGTTAACAATCTCTAAGTTACTCCACAGAGAAAACATCTAGAGCACAAGGTTATTCCCCTTTTAATGACATTGTTTTGAGAAAGCAGGATACTTTGAGGCTTAGAACTTCTTAGCTCGGTTCTCCTTTCCATGTAGGATGACTTATTTCATTGGCCATTGAAGAGACAGAAGGACTGACAGCTTAAGATAAATGATTCGAAGTGCAATGTTTTCTGCTATTCAAATTAATATTCAGATTTATATGTTATACTTTACAGGAGTTTTTCTAGTTGGTTAGAGTTTGTATGACAATGTACAATAGGCTTGAGATTTAGTGAATCTCTCACCAAACTAGAAGAACTCTTGTTTTAGCAAACCCCTTGTTTCTTTAGAGGATAAATACCGAGTAGTGGCACAAGAGGGGTCTAAATGGACTTAGAGTGTTCATATAGCTGTGTCAACTATATTGGTGTTGAAGATTAGTAGTTGTTATAACTTATATTACATTTTACTGTCTTAGTTGGCCTATATGTATCTTCTAGCTTTATTACTTCCATTGTATATTAGAGTTTGAATTTAGCCTTTTAACCCATATAGTCATTTAAATTTACTTAGTTCAGATGGAATGCAAAGAATTTAACTGAACTTTATCTTCGAGAATTTAACAGTGAGAAAATTGGTATGTGACATAAAACTGAAGGAAACGGTGAGTAGTAATCTGTTGTCAAGCTCCTGCCTTTGTTTGTCGTGTGTGAACAATTCAAGCCCTAATGGTATTTGAGATATGGTTTTGGAATGCAAATGTACCATTCAGTGTATTTATGGCTAAGCTATTCGTTGTGATGCAGACCATCATGGTCCTCCAAAGGTGAACATTTGGCAGGATCCAATGAGCCCATCAAAATAGAAGGAAGAGCATGTGAGTTTTTCTGAATATTTACAGTTCTCTTTTCTATTTGTTTAAGCTGTCTTGGGTTCGTTTTGTGGTTTTCTATGATGTTATCATCTTGCCTGTCCTAAAACTGTTGAATTTCTTGTTCGTCACTGTTTAAGACTTGTTTGCTTATTACTTAAATCTTATCGTCATGCTTGTGTTGTTTAGAGTCTTTGACTGTTGGATATGTTATGTTTATGGACGGGAACTCTTCTATCTTGGTGACTTCAGGCCATAATTCTGGTGATAACTTATGACGTTGCTTGTGCCTTGTGAAGTGGAAGTTACATGCCCTTTTTCCGATAAATTGTACATCTGTGCAATAATTCTGCCTTCTATTTTCTGTGAACTAAGGCGGAATCCTTACAGATGAGCATGCAACCTGTGTTCCTCATTTCCTGCCACCTTTGTAGTCCCCCAGTACTCTAAGTAGTCAGGCTTCATAAGCCCCACTCCTTTTACCCACCACGACACCTAACTTCTCAAGATGTGCAACGGTGGTAGTTTTTGGAATAGGTTTTGCAGCAGCGGTGAAAGATGCTTTAGGAGAAATTAGGATAAAAGTATTGTACCCAAGAAGAAATAAGAATCCTTTGGGGAATGAAAACTAGCCACTTTGAACTTATTGTTCCAAGAACTCCAAAAAAATTGCCAGGCTCTTTCCAAATGCTCAGAATCCTTCAGTCCAGGAGCTTTGAACGTCTGGGCGGGCAAGAGCCGCCTCTTAATTTAGTTGGAATAGATAAAAGCTGTTGTATTTTAATCTGATGGGAAAAATTGGCAGCTTCTAGCCGTCTACATGTGTTAGGGTGGGGAGGCTTGTTGATAATGGGGGACAGAAACAGATTGAGGGAGTGAGAAGTTAAGTGATGACCATTGAGGTGGGGGTGATGTTGTGGGTGTCTGATGCCAGATTCTCTGTAGCGAGTTGTAGGTGAAGAGAAAAGAGGCGATGCCAGAAATGTTAGTTGAAGGTTGAACTTACCCATGAAATTTGTGTTGTGTTTTCATGTAATGTTGCAGAGTGTTGGGGACTATAAAAACAAGAATGTCATATATAAAGATTTATGGTTCAATAATCTACTTGCTATTGTTTGATAAACTCTCCATCATTTTTTCTGTAATTACCATATCCATTATATTTGATCTATCAGTATACTCGTGTAGTTTTATGCTGATGATTTTTACATATGGTGGTATTTTCTTTACTGTTATAGAACAAAGAAGACTGTTTAGAGTTAGCAGTAACATACAGGTTAATTGATCAAGTGTTAACCTTTTGTTGTAGCGATCTAGTTAAAGGCGTCCTAAATGTTAAACCATTTGCTACTCTGCTATGTCAACATCATGGGTTCTCTGTCACATTTTTGTACACATTGTCATAGTGATTGCATCACTCTTTACTTTCTTCCAGTGTTACTGGAGTCAGAATTTACCGGGTTTATGCTAATACAAACACCTAAACTAGGTGTACATCATAAACTTGTAAGTTTGACTAGGAACTTACATCTTTTGCAGTTTGTGATAGCCTCTCTTACTGGTTGGGGTTTGGTCTTCTATGGGGTTATAAGCTCTTCTCAGGAGGAAAGAAAGAGAAGAAGGAAGAGGTACACTTCCTGTTATTAAATAAGTGTTTTGGAATATTTTGTAGCTATTAATATTTATGTAATACTTTGTTTGAAGCAAATAGGAAATTTAGTTTCTATCTTCTTATAGCGAGTCCAGTCAAGTGGCTGTAGAATATGATAGGAATTTCAAATCTATTTTAAACTATTTTGCTAGCATCTAGCTGACTAAAATTTGGTCTAGTATTCACCACATAGGGTTTGTTTAGTACGAAGGAAAAGTATTTTTTTGGTAAATAAGTGGTCTTCTCACTTATTTTATCATGTTTGGTAAACAAGTAAAAAATATATTCCTGAGAGAATTTCTATATAATCTAAGCAAACACTAGAAGGGAGTGTTTGGGCAGGGTGGTGAGGTGGAAGTATTAGTGGGTAGTGTGTATGTTGACTCCCAAAACAATTACATTAACCTACATTTAACCATATAGGACATCCTTTGTTCCATTTTAGGATTTGAAACAGTGACAATAGGATTGAAATTGTTAAGTGACGGTGGGGGTTGGGAGAAGACGATCCGTGGAATACCATTTATTGAACTTGTTTTTCCCTACTCTAATTGGGGATTAACCTTTAAAAGGGAGAACTTAAAGCTAATGTAATCAAGCAAATCTTACATCATGTATATGTAATATAAATATGTGTACCATCTTCACTTTGAGAAGAACTAATATTCTCTAGCTACTTGAAATTTGGTCTCTCTCTATGTACATCCTCTGATTTACTTAAATCTCTTTGCAGAAATGATCACACGGACGTCGGGTTGTCTCTATTCACCGGCAATAAAGTAGTGTAAGTTGCTAGGTCTTAGTGGCCTAGTTCAAGCCAATATGAGGATGTAATTTGTCGGCCCCTATCCATTCCCATTCTAGCTTTGAACTTTGAGTTGTACATGAAATGTTGATTGAACAATCAACTTTGAGTGCTTTTTTCTGAATTGTCAATCCATTTAATAACTATCACCATGAGTATGTTGAGGAGATGAAAAACACGTGATTAATCGTTCTATACATTACCCCCTCCTCCTGCGTGTCTATACATTGAATATCTTATTTGTGAGTTCAATATGCCCTAGTGAGTCAAATGCATCCATAGGTGTGCGACACCGACAACAACATAACTACAACATAACTAGTGTAATCCTGTAAGTAGATATGGGTTGTGTGGTGTGTATGTCGCCTTACCCTGTATCTTGTGAAGGTGTGACACTATGTTACATTGTTCAAATTGAACAATATGCCAGGTCGATATGGTTTTTTTTATGCATCCTCGTGAGTCTATCGATAAAAATGTTTATTATGTGCATAATTAAAGTACACAAATGACCTTTCAATAGAATTTCAAAAGACATTTAATAGCCAAAATGTACTTTTTTTGGTTCTCGTTTTAACGTAAAATACACCAGCCAAGACATATATTATACGTTATATATGATATATATATATATATATAATAAAAATAACACTACACACACATTTAAGATGTTAAATATCAA